CTCTCTCTCTCTCTCTCTCTCTCTCTCTCTCTCTCTCTCTCTGACAGGGTCTCACTGTGTAGCTTAGGCTGGTCTTGAACTTGCTGCAATCCTCCTGCCTCAGCCTCCTGAGTGATGGGATCACCAGAATGACCAGAATGCACCACCATGCCTGACTCTGTATCATCTTCACAGCTGGGTAGCAGCCCGCTGTGCAGTAGCCCACTACAGCCGTACAGTTGCTCACTCCCATTAGCTATGGCCTGAGCATCTCTCTAGGCCAGGCACTGTGCTAGACCTGGAGATGCAGCCGTGAACAAAAACAGACACCAGTTTCTACCCTCTCTGGGATGATATCCTGGGGAGAGAGATAATGCACAGGAGGTACCCAGGACGTAATTTCAGGTCAAGAAGTCATTACTGCTACGTGGGAGAAGGCAGGGCGGTGGTGGAATGCCAGGGCAGCTCTTCTGAGTGGGGCTCCAGGTGTGCAGGAGGCTGGGGTGGGAGCCAGTAAGGGTTTGTGGTGAGCTGCTCCCTCGGTGGGAGCGACCTGTTCCAGGATGAGCCAGGAGGCCAGCACTGTGGGATCCTGGGGACAAGGCACAGATTCACAGCATGACATGGGACAGGGATGGGATACCTATAGTTTTTTTCCCCCAGAATTTGGGATTGAACCCTGGGCCCTTTTTAAATCTTTAAATTTTGAGTCAGGGTCTCCCTAAATTGCTTGGACTCTGCAAATTGCTCCTCCCAAATGCTGGGATCACAGGCACGGCCCCCACCATGCCTGGGCTGCCAGCAATTTTTTTTTTTTTTAAACTCAGGATCTCACTATGTAGCCCAGGCCTGGACCTCAAATTCACAGGGATCCTCCTGCCTCAGCCTGCCAAGTGCTAGGGTCACAGGCACCCTCCACTATGCTTGGCTTGCCTGTGATTTTTTATTTTTCTTTTCTTTTTTCTTTCTTTTTTTTTTTTAAAGCTACCCTTGATGCTATACAAATGAGCTTCACTTTGGGTTCTGTTCAAAGAGGATTGTGCTTCTGTGAGTTTTTCTACTACCTAGGGCAGAGCCCAGACTGGATAATTTGTTAACCTTCCTCAAGTAAACAGGCCCAGATAGGGGCTTCTGTTTGGGGGAGGTAGGGCCCCAAGGAGTCAGAGGCTGGGAGGAGGCTGTGGGAGCCAGCCAGCCTTTCTGCCCTAAATAGGCAAGCTGGGTGCCTGCCCTCCCTGGCCTCCCTCCCCCTTTGAGGCCAGACAAGCCGCTTTTGTCTCAGGGTCAACCGCCAGCCGCCTGCCGGCTGCTGCCTCCAGCCTTACTCTTCATGGAGGCAAAGGCCTGGGGTCTGGGTGCTTCTGTCCCTGCCATATCGGCCCCTGTCCCCTAAAAGGCCACAGTTACTTTTAGAAGATAGGGGATAAGAAGCACTGGGCACCTGATGGAGTACATCTTGGTGGGAAGGGAACCAGGGCAGGAGGGGCATGTGGTCTCTGGGGGCACCTGGCCAAGTAGAGGTGAGGATCACCCTGCAGTGCCCCAAATGTGGACTCAGAATTGTAGGGTTGGCCTGTTTTAGCCGTGCAAAGGAACCCACCTGCAGCAGGAGGAACTAGAGGAAGACTTGCAGAAGGACTTCCCAGTGGTAATAAAGGGCAAAGAGGGGTTGGCCAAATAGCTCAGCAGATTAAGGCAACTGCAAGCAGGTACAGGGGCCAGGTGGGGCCTGGGGTTCAATCCCCAGGCCTGCTGTGCTGGCCTCACCCCTGGGCTGTGCTGAAATGACAATTAAGACTGGGCATCAGTGGTGCATGCCTATAATTCCAGCTCTTGGGAGGCTATAAATAGGTGGATCACTACGAGTCCAGGGGCTGGGGAGATAGCTTAGCTGAATAAGAGCAAGGTCAGCTGGGCATCATGCATACCTGTAATCCTAGCACTTGGGAGACTGATGCAGGAGGATCTCAAGAAGAGTTTAAGGTCAGCCTGAACTGCATCTCCAGACCCTGTCTCAAAACCAGAACAAAACAAAAACCGAAAAGGAAGATCAAAGACTAAGAGGCAGCAGACCCAAGACTAACAGATCTGCTGGGTCCTGGCCACCAGCTGGGACAGCTGAAGAGACAGCAGGAAAATGGAAAGTTAGACTCAAAGAGGAACCATCCAAGCAGGGTTATAGAGCCACGTGCAAAGCAGGACGACTGCTGATGAGAGGGAAAAAGAGATGGAGCCTGCTAAGAGGGAATGAGGTGGCCAAAGGCTGGGGGACCTTGTGACCACCCTGCTTCCCACATGTCCCCAGGAGGCCCTGCCCGGGCTCATCTGGGATCTGGGCCAGCAGCTGGGAGACCTGAGCCTGGAGTCGGGGGGCCTGGACCAGGAGAGCGGGCGCAGCTCGGGTGAGCATGGGGGATGAGAGGGACTTCCTGGGATGCCCCACCCCACCTGTTGCCACTGCCCCCAATCTCTCCCTGTCCCCCCTTCCCCTCCCTAACCCTGATGGTTTCTCGGCTTCCTCCTGGAATCCAGGTTTCTATGAAGACCCCAGTTCCACGGGAGGCCCAGATTCTCCACCCTCGACCTTCTGTGGGGACAGTGGCTTCTCCGGATCTGGCTCCTATGGACGCCTAGGTCCTTCTGAGCCCCGGGGCATCTATGCCAGCGAGAGGCCCAAGTCCCTAGGTAAGGTGGATGGGGTTGGGGCCCTGAGGCCAGGAAGAGGACAGAGGGTGGGACGCTTCTGAGTCAGCCCTGGCCTCCAGTTCTGGCTGGGACCTTCCCTCTTCGTATGACTTTTGAGCATCACTCTTCTTTCTGGGCCTCCGTTTGTCCGTCTGTTCAAATGGGTAACAAGTAGAGATGTTTCCAGCGTGTAGTGGGCCTCTGCCCTCAGCACCTCAGGTACCAGCAACTGCTGTTAATCACTCTGAGCTCCTATTCTTTGCTGTGGAACACTGTGCTAGGAGTGAGGGGCCGGCAAAGGCCTCATGGAGCAGACCTTCTAGTTGCACAAACATAATAGACAAGTAAGGTATCTGATACGTGCTAGATGGGAAATAAACCAGGGAAAAAGAACAGGGAGCCTTCCCTATTTGGAAAGGGAACAGGGTTTGTAGAAACTATGACCAGCCGGAGTGGTGGTGCACGCCTGTAATCTTAGCACTTGGGAGGCTGAGGCAGGAGGACTGCTTTGTGTTCAAGGCTTATCTGAACTATATGATGAGACCCTGCCTGAAAAAAAAAAGACCAGGCAGAGTCTCATGGAGACTGTGACCTCTGACTGGCTTCCTAAAGAGAGATTGGGCTAAGCACATACACATACTTCAGGAGAGGGGCATCCCAGGAGGCTGGAGCTTGACTGTGCTCTGCATGTAGGCCGTGTGGCTGGAGAGCTGCACAGGACAGGGTAAATTTGGGGTTTAGAGACACACCACTAGGCCAAATCCTGCAGTTTTATCGAGGGAAGGGTCGCAGCCAGGCCACTGCTGCGGGAGGGAGGGAGGGAAGCAGGCAGCTCGTCTCTCCCTCCCAGACTGGAGGAGAAGGGACTTTGAGAGCACCTCCTCCCTCTTCCTTTCTCGATCCCTCCCTAGGAGACGCCAGTCCCAGCACTCCGGAGTCGGTGGGCGCTCGGGCTGCAGTGCCGCGCTCCTACTCCGCGCCCTACCCGACGGCGGCGGGCTCGGCGGGCCCAGACGTCTGCTCCTCCGCCGAGCGGAGGGCGCGTGCGGGGCCCTTCCTCACGCCCAGCCCCCTGCACGCCGTGGCGCTGCGCAGCCCGCGCCCCTGCGGCCGCTCACCCGTCAACTCGCCCGAC